GCGGAGGGGTCCGGGCACGCATTGGCAGCCTTTAAATACCCTCTAAACACTTCTCAACAGGTCTAGGAATGCTGGAAGCGTGGGGGCGTTGGGAGTGGTGAGGGTGGTGGGGGTGGTGGGGCGGTGGGTGTGGTGGGGTGGCGGGGGCAAAGAGGGCGGCGGGGAGGGAGAGGATTCTATCTATTTCTCTCTCTATCTCTCTCTCTGTCTCTCTCTCTCTATCTCTCTCTCTCTCTGTCTCTCTCTCTCTATCTCTATCTCTTTATCTCTCTCTCTCTAACTCTCTCTAGTTGTCTCTCTATCTGTCTATTCTCTATGATAATTTTTATTCAGGTTTTCGCTGATAGCTACTCCGATTAACGATACTATGAAGGGTAGTTTTCTGTATATTATAGTTTATTATTTGATGATTGTCGTTGGCTCTTATAGAGCTTGCTTGCAGCCGGCGACAAATTGAATATATAAATATTGTACTTCTATATAATTTCTGCCTCTCTTTAATTATATAAAAGGTCTCGTATTTGCTTCTCTCGGCCTTTAGCATGGCATTCTGGATATAATTTGACGAAAGGTGTTGTCACTTGAAGCTTGGCAAGTCGAAATAAATAATCGTAAATTATTTCTGGCGCTATTAATAGAAAAAATTAAAATATCCAAATATGTCGGTGGTTGACTTTCGCCTTGGAAAATTATGTGCAAGAATTCGATATCAACTTGTCCGTAGCTGCGCTATTACACGAGATTTGTGCCTTCGTGCTGAGACCNNTCTACAAATTTTCAGACTTGGGCTGTTGATGCCGGAATACTATATTGCTAAGCTGTACGTTCCATTTGAACACCGCTATTGGAAGCAGCGGGGCAATTCTAATTTCTAATAAATTATATTCTGGTTTTTTCGGAATTCATGAATTATATAATTGAATATATATCGATATTTATTTATAGAATATCTAAAATCTATTTTGTATTTTTTTGGAAGATATTTAGATACATGAAGAAATATAATATGATATTTGTCTCAAATATTATATGAAATTATAATTTCTTCGATTTATGATATGTCGAAATTCTAAAAAAATTTAAAAAACTATATATATATATATATA